GAACGGGGAGTAGAACAGGCAGATGGACCAAAGACACTGCTGAGGGGAGCAGCGGGCAAGGCAGGAGAGGTCTACTGCGCCACGTGGGGTTCTCCCTGGTCAGCTGGGAATTGAAGCGGTGCTGCAGAGGCTGCAGACAGCTTTGCAGCGCGGCACTCAACCGCTGCGCCACCAGGGAGGCCCTCTTTTCTTTAAATTGATATATTAATTTTTTACATCATTGCTCATTTTTGTACAGTGTTTGATTTCTCCCCTCAGCTGTAGTCCACATAAAATTCCCACCATGTTACATATATACAATGGAATATGACTCAGCAATCAAAAAAAGATAAACTCATGCCATTTGCAGCAACATGGATGGAGCTAGAAGGGAACATGCTCAGTGAAATAAGCCAGAAAGAAAAAGAAAAATGCCGGATGGTCTCACTCAGCAGGAATTTAGAAAACCCAAATAAAGGATCAGAAAAAAAAAAAACACTTGGAGACAAATGAAAATACGACTTACCAGGCTCTATGAGATGTAGCACTGAAAGTTTATAGCAATACTGAACTACCTCAAGAAAGAAGAAAAATCTCAAATACTAACAATCTAATCTTACACCTAAAGGAACTAGAAAAAGAAAAAACAAAACCCAAAGTCAGCAAAAGGAAAAAAAAAAACAGAAATAAATGAAACAGACAATACAGAAGATAGAACTGAGAATCTGTTGTTTGAAACAATAAATAATATGGACAAATCTTTAGTTACAGTCACCAAGGAGAGGGCTCAAATAAATAAAATCATAAATCAAAAAGAATTTACAACAGATCCCAAAGAGATACAAAGAATCATAAGAGACTAATATCAACATTTATATGCCAATAAATTGGACTCTAAATTCAAATCATACAACCTTCCAAGACAATCATGAAGAAACAGAAAATCTGAGATGGATCACTATTAACAATAATTAAGAGTATGCCCCCAAAACGAAAGTCCAGGGGCCTCCCTGGTGGCCTGAGGGTTAAGTCTCAGTGCTATCACTGCTATGGCCTGGGTTTGATCCCCGGCCAGGGAGCTTACGAATATATGGCATTAGCAGACCTCTCCTGTCTCGCCTGTTGCTTCCCGTAGCAGTGTATTTCAATAAATCTGCCTGTTCTGTTTCCCACTCTGTCTGGTGAATCCTTTCATTCCCACATCTCTGGCCTACACTCCAGTTCTTCCACAAACAAACAAACAAAAAAACCCCAAAAATGAAAGTCTAAAACCAGATGGCTTCACTGCTTAATTCTACCAAACATTCAAAAAATATCTATTTTCTATCTTCCTCAAATTCTTGTAATCAACTGAAGAGACGGGAACAGGCCAACATTACCCTGATATAAAGACCAGAAAAGGACATCATACTCACAAAAAGATAACTACAGACCACATGAACATCAATTTATAAAAGTCCTCAACAAAGTATCAGCACACAAAATATTAGCAAACAAAAACATCAGAAGGATCATACACTATGGTCAACTGGGATTCATTCCAGTGATGCAAGTCTGCTTCAAAATATGCAAATCATATGTCAAATCAACAAAACATGTAAAACCCACAGCTAACATCATACTACACAGTGAAAAACTGAAAGTTTTTAAGAGCAGCAACAAAATAAGAAAGTCCACCCTCACCACTATTGTTTAAATAAAGTATTAGGAAGTTTTTACCCAGAGCAATCAGGCAAAAAAAAGAAGTAACAGCATCCTAACTGAAAAGGAAGAAGTAAAGCTGTTACCATTTGGGTTTTTTTTTATATTTTATTTTATATAATTCTTACATTGTTTTTCATTTTTGCACAATGTATGCATTATCATTTTGGTTATATTTCCCATACAATTGCACACCCCCCCTTATTTTGACCCTAGTCCTTCCTCTCTCCTTCCCCCCCATTTTATTGATGATATTGTATACAAAACCCTGCAAGATTAGTAAAAAGCTACGAGAAATAATAAATTAATATAGTAGAGTGGCAGGTTACAAATCATACAAAAATTTCGTTGCATTTCTAAATGCAGACAACCATTGTACATGGGATTTTTTTCTTTCTCTCCTAGTTCATTAAGAAAATAATCCCTGGGCCTCCCCGGTGGCGCAGAGGTTGAGCGCTGGGTTGCGAAGCTCCCTGCGGCCTCTGCGGTGCCGGTTCGATCCCCGGCTGCTTCCCGCCCACCGGAGGAGGGTCCCACATGGTGCGCAGACCTCTCCTGCCGCCCGCTGCTCCCCTCAGCAGTGGACTTCGGTCCTTCTGCCTGTTCTGCTCCCCGCTCTGGCTCTGGTGAATTCTCTCACCCTCCCGCGCTTCTGACTGTACCCAGTGCATGTATAAACAAACAAACAAACAAACAAATAAATAAATAAAATACGTGCCTCTTTAAAAAAAAAATTGTTTTAAAAAAAAAAAAAAAAAAAAAAAAAGAAAAAAAAAAGAAAATAATCCCATTTACAATAGTATCAAAAAGAATAAAATACCAAGGAATAAATGTAACCAAAGTGGTAACCTGTATACTGAAAACTAAGACACTATTGAAAGAAACAAAGCACAAAGAAATGAAAAGTTATTCCATACTTATAGATCGAAGAATTAACATCGTTAAAATGACCATTCTACCTAAAGCAATGTACAGAATCAATGTAATCCCTATCAAAATCCCAATGGCATTCTTCTAAAAAAAACAGAACAAAAAATGCTAAATTTGTATGGAACCACAAAAGGTCCTAAATAGAAAAAGTAATCCTGAAGGGGGTAAGGGGGGTAAGTAATACCAGGGTCTCTGACTTGAAACTATCCTACAAAGCTGGAATAATTAAAATAGCATGGTGTTAAAATAAAAAGACAATACAAATCAATGGAAAAGAATTAAGTGAACAAATACACAGACAACTAATATGTGTGTTATGATAAAGGAGCTAGGAACATACAATGGAGAAAGCAAAGTTTCTTCAACAAATGATGTTGGGAAAAATGAACAGTCATATGCAAAACAATGAAACTACTACTATTCTATACCATGCACAAAAGTTAATTAATTTTTAAGGATTAAAGGCATGAATGTAAGACCTGAAACCATAAAATACATAGATGAAAACAGGCTATAAGCACCCTGACATGGATGTACCAGGTATCTTTAGGGATTTCACTCTAATAGCAAGGAAAACAAAAGGAATAATGTATTGGATGACATCAAATGATTAAGTTTCTGCACACTGAGAAACACTACCATCAAAATGAAAAGTTAACCTCCTGAACAGGAGAAAATATTTGCAAGTCATATTTAACAATGGGTTAATATCCAAAATATACATACAACTCATAGAATTCAACAAAAATCATCCTGATTAACAAGATGGGCAGAGGTTCTAAATAGACATCTCTCCAAAGATGACATACAGAAGGCCAAAAGAAATGTAAAAATATGTTCGTCATCATTTATTACTAGGGAAATGCAAATCAAAACCACAAGATATTTCCTCACAACTGTTAATATGGCTATTAACAAAAAGAAAAGTAGTAAGTGTCAGCAAGCATGTAGAGAAAAGGGAACTTGGTAAACTGGTGAGAATTTAAGCTGGTACAGCCACTAAGGAAAACAGCGTGGAGATTCCTCAAATATCAAGCACAGAAATACAGTATGATCGAACTATCCCACTTCTGGGTATTTAGCTCAAGAATATAAAAAACACTAATTTGAAAAGATTTATGCACCCCTATGTTCATTGCAGCATTACTTACAACAGACAAGATATGGAAACAAACTACCCATGGATGGATGAAGATGTTGTCAGGTCGATCAAGGGGCAGACCACCCATGGAGTTAAGACTCCACTTACAACTTTGACCCCCCTCCCCAAACTTAGCTAATAAGCTTGCTGTTGAAGGTAAGCCATATTGTAACAGTCAATTAACACAATTAACAAAGTTTTGTACATTATATACTGCAGTCTTACAATAAAGAAAGCTACATTAAGAAAACCGTAAGGAAAATACATTTACAGGACGACATTTATAGATAACACAAATTTATGTCATCTGTTTACAATAATATCCACTTATAAGTGGACCTGGGCAGTTGAAACTAGTGTTAAGGGTCAACTATATACACAATAAAATACTACTCAGCTATTAAAAAAAAAGATATAGACCTTGAAGATATTATGCTAAGCAAAATAAGTCAGAAGACCACTATTTCATGACTTAACTCATATGTGGAAAATAAATGAACAAGTAAAACAAACTCTCAGGTACAGAGAACAGTTACCAGAGGGGAAGGAGGTTGGGCAGTGGGTTAAACTGGTAAAGAGGGTCAGCTGTATGGTGTGATGGATAAAAACTAGATTTCTGGTGATCATGACACGGAGTATACAGATGTCAAAGTATAATGCTGTATACCTCAAAACTCATTTAATGTTACAAAACAATGTTACTTCAAAAAAATCAGATCGTGCATTATCAATTTGCCTTATGGAACAATGAAAAATAGTCGGGCTGAGTTGAACTTTTATGAGAATTTTGCCTTTAATTAGTATTACTACCATTACAAATCAATTACTCAGAATGCACTAACTTCCCTATATTTTTATTCTGAAAGTACTCTTTAGAGTACTAAATTCCCAGATAAGAAAACTGATACTAGAACACGGCCAGGATTCAAATCCAGTTAATTGCACCGAACTTCCTTCCCAAGTAGAACCTGATTCTCACCTTAATTTCCCAAGAGAAATTGTCATTCTTGAACAGAGATTCTACTTTGTGAACACAGATTTAAAAGTCCCTCAAAACTACTTCATAATAATTGAGAATACTTGTTAAGTTTTTATGGAATTTAGCTAAATGAAAACCCAATAGTTCTATACTCAATAAGGCCAGTAAAGTTAAATTAGGGATTTCTAAGCATTTTGAAATTGCAGGTAACAACTGCGAAAAGGAATTATATAGTCCAATTTTTGTCCCAAGTCTTCACCCATGACTCACCTCTGCCAAATGTTGTAGCCGGGTTAACAGTGGGGTTCTCTTGTCAGATCCAAGCCGTGTGATATAGTTTGATCTTTTGCTAAATACATACAGAAGGTTAAGGACTGCCAGCACCACTTGCATATCAGAAGAAGCCAATAAAGTTGTCAAGTGCTAGAGGGAACAAAAAGGGGAAAGTTCATGGGATTAGGCATTCTAGGTCTTGGAAACGTAAAATGCCAATGTAGCGATAGATTTTTTAAATTACAAACAATTTTAACAATACAGAAAAAGGTATAAATATTCAAGTACCTACAACATGCCACCTTGTCCCCAAGAAGCTTACAATCTGTCACCAAGTCAAAGTCCAATATGAGTAGAAAAAAATGTGAACAGCAGTACAAAATTACATAGTTGTCCCCACAGGAAGAAACAAGATTACGAAGTGACAAATGTGACATAATAAACAATGAAACTCAAGAACAGTATGTCTCCAACTACACTAAAAGTATTGTGAAAGAAAGTTAATTTTAAGTTCCTTCTGTATCCTTTGTGATAAGGATAAAAATGAATTAAAAAACAGCGTCCTTCATATAGAAGCTTGAGACATTTACAACCCCTGGCAACATTTATGACTATTATAGTACAGTGTATGTACACCCATATATTGAGGTATTTGGCCAATGTTAAAATCAATGTCAATGAACCTGGGTCTATTTGGTTTCTGATTATCAAAGGCAATGACTACTCTTTTAAGCAACTCTATTTCATTTCCAACAAGCTGCTTATCCACTCCACAGTTAAAACTCAGGGTGCTAGTTATTCCACTTCTTTTCCTAAGTCATTTTCTTACTACTTGTTCTGATCCTGATTTTAATTCATGTTTAGGAAAATTAAGGGCACTTAGCCAATAGTGACAAAAGTCTAAAGTTGGACCAATGGAAAAGTTTCTTAACAGTGCTCACTTCACTGTTTAAAAACACAAAGGATGCTATTATTTTACATTTTGGGAAGAGGGGAGAAGAGACTAAAAGCAGCACACTAAAACTTAGAAGAGCTGTAAGTACAATAATATACCAAGGAAATCAACTACTTTTAGTAATTTAAAAATAATTTGGAGCAAAAATCAATTTTAACAAATTCCCAAGATTATGTTAATACTGCATTCTCAAAAAAAATTTAAACCTTAAAAAGAAGGGTGAAGGTGATAGCAAAGAACATTCCCATCAACCCTGTGAAGGGTATCCATACCTGAGAAACATCCCACCATTATCTTTGACATAGAAAATCCCAGAGCACCATAATGAAAAGCAAAAAAGCAATTAAAGATATAAATAGCAATGTACTTATTTCTGGACATGAGCAATTCTATTAGTTAAGAACAGATCACACAGGCTTGCACCACTCCTACCTCTATAGAACTGTACAGATGCCGAGAAAAACTGTACTCAATAAGCAAGGCCGTGAAGTTCAAAACAGCCAAGAGAAGCATTTTCAGTTGTTCTCTTTCAGGCCTATCACACACGAGCATCCATGACATATTCTCCACTGTTTGTCCGGCATCTGCCAGAATTCCATCAAAGCGGTCCAACAGGTCTACCCAGTGATATAATTCACACTACATAGGGGAACAGAGAAAGACAGATAAAAAATAAGGTAAAAGTACCATGTGGAGGCTCTGTAGCTGAGTTCTACTATAATGGATTGCTGAGCATAACACCTCTGCTTTTCTGCAATCCCCCACCAGTACAGAAACCCATATGAGATCATATTCTGAACCACATGGGCATGTGGTTATATCCATCAAGGTGTATGTGTTAATAGTAGTAGATGCCAGGTCTTCAGAGGGAGAATTCTGGCTACATTCTACAAGCACAAGGACTTTCCTTGCTAGAACCTGTTTTATTAGATGTGTTCATTTTCAGTTATCTAAAGAATATACTTTAAAAGTAAGACTTCTAAGACTATCTCAAACTCATATTTCAGTAAGACTAAAGGAATTGTGTGGTTCAGATTCTTTATCATCATTCATGTAAAGGGTCCTCATCCTCAATCAGAAAAATTTTTCTTTCACAATTTGGTGATTTCTCTTTCCATAGCAGAGCATACAAAATGATGCACTAGCTTGGGAAGTACTGTCTTTTGGAAGCATGGGTTACATACCTTTCCAATGTTCCATGTTTTGATCTGCTGCAGTTCCAAGAGGAGTTGCTCATCATTACAAACTTTGAGTTTGTCTATTAAGGCTCTGCAGTCTGCAGGCTGAGAAATAAAAACAGTAATTCACAAAGAGTGTTTTGGATTATGAGGGAGCTACAAAGAGGAAGAATGGGAAAAATAATCTTTAATCCAACACATACAGCAATTTAACTTTTGACAGCATATACTACTTAAGTAAAATCTGCCAGATGATTGGGATTAAAATGGTAACCTAGAACACAACAATCCATTTTTGCATTTTTAAAGCCTGGATAAGTTTATAGATACAAACAAATTACTTGGAGGGGTATAGACAACAAAAATAAGCAAGCTAAACATGAATGAAAGATTCTGTACCACAGTCAGAAAATTAACCAGAATGCCTGGTAACACTGAAATGCACCAGTCAATTCAGTTAAAAGTGAAGATCAGCAGTGGCTGTATTTCCCGCCCCCCCACATTAAACTGTTAAATTGTAGTAGGGCAAGAGGTTCTGAACTTAGGAAAACCATTACTTCATACTTATTTATGGCTCCCATTTCCAAACATTCCTGTTTTCTCTTACTGATGAAAGGGCATGTCAGACAACAAGGTGTGGACTGAGATTATAGTAATATTACTGAGAGTGGACTGGAGGAGGAGTAGGGACTGGGATAAATAAGTCTTCCACTAACAGATGGCAACTGATTACACTTGCTCTTTAACTATGCAAAGCAGTATAGAATACTGGGAATGGGCCTAGATTTGGAACCAAGAAAATCTTCATGCTTTTACCTTACTGTGTTTACCTTGATGCTTACTAAGCCATTTTGGTCATGAGCAATCCAAACTATCAGCCAGCTTTCTTGCCAGGAAAACTGACTGAATAGCTATGGCAGAAATGAGAAAATTGTGTTTGCCACATGCAAAAGGACTTACATCACAAAACAGGAACTTAAATATCAAGAGAGACAGCATACAAAGAGCACGGGATTTGGAAATAATGTACTTGATAAGCTACCTCTTTGGATTTAGTATTCTTCTGCAAAATTAACTACCACCACCTATATATTCAGCAATGTTGTTATGAGACTTAAACGAAGTTATTTTTAATCAGAATATGGAGCAAAAGGGAAGGTAGATTGTTCCTACATTGTCATGGTGTGCACCTGTCTATCCTTTTAGAAGTGAAATCCTGACATTTCCCAGGCCTCTGAAGCCCTAGAAACTTTCCTGATGTGGCAGGAACATTTTAAAGGTTTCACCTCTGCCTCTCTAGTACACTTATGGCTAAGGCATCTAAAGAGCTTGTGCTGGGGACTCCCTGGTGGTGCAAAGGGTTAAGATGAAGCAATCCACAGCTACTGCTTGCCCGCTGCTCCCCTCAGCAGCATATTTCAGTTGATCCACCTGTTGTGCTCCCCACTCTGTCTCTGGTGAGTCCTCTCACCTCCCACATCTCTGGATTATGCCCCAGCTCTTGTATGCATAAATAAATATTTAAAAAAATAAAGTGCTTGTGTTTTCAGCACAAAGATCTGGTTAGCATAATGGCATCAATTTAATACACCAGCATGATATTCTGCTTATCAGGAGTATCAAGGTGCTTCTGGACCTTGAGATTTGCAGAATGCACAGCAGCCTATGAAGAAAGCAATGTTTAATGTACCATTGATGCTTGCCAATAAAACTAAGCAAACACACACAAGAAATACGCAGAATGCAGCAGGGACAAAAGTGTATCTTTTACTATCTTTTCCCTACTATGTAAATGCAAAGTGAGTATAATTTTCTTTCCTCATGGTAATTTAAAAGAAAATATTTGCCAATTCAATGGTTACATACCAACTGCCATGGTTTAAATTGATTTGCTACAATAAAGACATGAAATCTAGGGAAAAATCCTTTGCACATCTGGTGATAAAGTGATCAATAAATGTCTTTCTTAAAACCTACTGACCACAGTATAGGAAACGGGTCATTGGTGCTCAAGGAAAATAGGTATCTTCAAGCCTTTAAAACATACATAATGATTAAAAATTTCAATTCTAAGAGTTTATCCTAAGTAACTTGCTGGTAGCTGGCAAATGCCGAGAGTCAGAAATCTGCATGTAGGTGATTCCAAGAACAAATATCTAACAATCTACTACAAAAAGAAAAAAACTTCATTTGCATTTTTCTGATTACCTACAAGGCTGAATTATTCTGAGAGTTACTTGGATTTGTTCTTTTCTGAAATACCCTAGGCCCATTTTGTCACTGGGATATTCATGTTTCCCAGTTTTAACTACTAAAGATTTTAAATGTTATTAGAATACAAATACTTTCCCCAGACTATGATGCGCCTTTTTATTATGGATACAGTATTTTGTATTATTTTTTCTCCTCTGCTTTAATACTTAGAAAAGCCATCCCGACCTATGACCAATAAGCTTTCTCCTATAATTTCTTTTTTTTTAAAGATTTATTTATTTTATACAAGAACCGGAGTACAGGCCAGATGCGCGGGAGGGTGAGAGGATTCACCAGAGACAGAGTGGGGAACAGAACAGGCAGACTGACTGAAATACACTGCTGAGGGGAAAAGCGGACGTGACAGGAGAGGTCTGCCGCACCATGTGGGACCCTCGCAAGCTGGCTGGGATTGAACTGACGCTGCAGAGGCTGTGTACAGCTTCACAGCGTGGCATTCAACCACCTGTGCCACCAGGGGAGGCCCTCTCCTATAATTTCTTTAACAAATATTTGACTTTTAATTTACCTAATTAACTTCAACATATTAACAGTCCCCTACCTGTTCCTCACATGGCAAACAATTGTCCTGGCATGGTTTCTTGACAAATATTGTCATTTTTTAATCAACTCATCCCTGTAATTAGCCTGTTATGTTCTTACGCATATGTACACCAGGACCCATTTATATGTTTTTTTTTAAAGATTTATTTATTTATTTATGCATACAAGAGCTGGGGTATAGGCCAGAGGGGTGAGAGGATTCACCAGAGATAGTGGGGGGAACAGAACAGGTGGACTGACTGAAATACACTGCTGAGGGGCACAGCGGGTGAGACAGGAGAGGTCTGCTGTGCCATGTGGGTTAGCTCCCTGGCTGGCCAGGGATCGAACTCATGCTGTGCTGCAGTGGCTGCCAATAGCTTCACAGTGCTGCAACTTAACCCCGTGCACCCATCAGGGAGGCCCCATTTATATGTTCTTTAGTTGCTTACACTAAAACCACTGTTTCAATTTGTACAATTTCTTTTTTTTTTTATTTATTTATACAAGCACTGGGTACAGTCAGAAGCGCAGGAGGGTGAGAGAATTCACCAGAGCCAGAGTGGGGAGCAGAGCAGGCAGAAGGACCGAAGTACACTGCTGAGGGGAGCAGCGGGCGGCAGGAGAGGTCTGCGCACCATGTGGGACCCTCCTCAGGTGGCCGGGGAGCAGCCGGGGAACGAACCGGCTGCTTCAGAGGCTGCAGGCAGCTTCGCAACCCAGCGCTCAACCGCTGCGCCACCGGGGAGCCCCGTGTACAATTTCTTAAGGTAAGTTTTCTTTTTGTTCTTCAGTTCCCAAAGATAGTTGAGTATATGACTGTCTAAAATTTTACATCCCAAAACACACAAAAAACAAAATCAAAAGAAAAATATCTGCAGTAGGTAAGAAAAATGAATATACTCAGTATGTACGGTGTTAAATAAACAAACTGACATTCCAACGTCAAATGCAAAATGAATGGCATGAACAGACAACTAAGTCCGACAAATTTGAAAATATATTTATCAGCTGATCACACCAGTCTGCACAGCTCCTGTGTCCTCACTGGGTGTAGGTTCATACTGTAGCCACCTCCCCCCACATGCACAGGGCTGATCTTTGGCCTTAATCTATCACAGTTCTGGGTGTTTTAGGAAGGTATCCAACATGATCAAAAAGGGTGAAGAAGAATGGTCTATGTAGAACAAGCGCTGGGTATTAAAGTTGCAAGACAAAGAGAACCAAGGGCTGTCTGACCTCTGCCTGAAGACCTCTTCTTGTTAGATGAGTATCTCCCTAGGACTATAGTGAACACTACTGTAGCATCCCCTGCTACACAGTAACCACAAACACAATGCATGGAAAAAAGACCTGTAGTGGGCTGACACTCCCATCCCATCTCCACGGGCACTCTTTAAAACTGCAAGAAATTGAGCCCTTTGGATGTCTGGCAGTAAATACCACAATTTGGGCATCTTCAAAGCAAAGTTCCATGTTTTCCTGATTTCACAAGAAGGTCTATATAGACAAAGATGAAATAATGAATGTTTATTCTACCTATTATGCCATGCTCGATGGGCTCATTTTTGTGCTTTGGGAAAAACATACCTAAATATGTATAAATGGGAATTGTATCTTTAAAGGCAGGCACAGATTAATCTTTTACTGTTTTCTGCTCCCACCCTGAAATGCTGTCTGCTGTTGAGAAGTTACTAAAATCATATCGATTGCCCCATTAAGGTCTTCTGTATCTGTGTCCCTCCACTGCATTTACATATTGATAATTGAGTTTTACTACAATGGAAGAAGAGCACCCAACTCTAGAATCAGATGTCTAAGTTTGAGTCCTCATTCTGCTATTATCATCATCTTGGGACCTTCAGTCACTTAACCTTTTTGTGCTTCAGTTTTCTGATTTAAAAAACAGTAGTAACATTAACTACTATTATTTTTGAGATTAAACTAGTTAATATATATAAAGCACCTAAAGGGGTTAGTCCTAAGGGCAATAAAAGCGTTAGTCATTGTTAAAAATATTATATATATTAAAGCAATACAAAATAGAACAGTAAAACAACTCTACCTAACATAATTTTAAAAGATACTGCATAATGCTGGAGAGGGTATGGGAAGAAAGTACTTCTCCTAATGATTAGTTTGACGCTAAGTATAAAGGGCAGTAGCACTGCCCATGTAATAAGCTTTTAAAAACTATGATAAATACAGGAAAATGTTAATAGTAATACCCCCAGGTAATACTCCAAGGTAGTTACAGTTTTTAAAAACAAGAAGGAGGGAGTAATTATCAACCCTGTTTTACAGCTGTCGGAACCAAATAAGTTAATAAATTCTCAGCCAAAAAAGAATCTAGTTAAGATTCAAATCCATGTCTAATTCCAAAGCTTGTGCACGCGGGACTAAAAAGGAGTACCATAACATACTTTCTTAATCTCAGAATGTAGTTTAAGATAGCAGATAGAATATTAGTCTGAAACTGGAATTTCTACTCAGCATAGGATCAACTGATATGGCCATCAATATACAGGTTGAACTGAATTGTATAATAAAAATTAATAATACAGAAAGTCAAAATAATGGCCTCATGAGGAATCTAGTTAAGGAATGTGTTAGGACTTTTATTTCCTAAAAAATAAAATTGAGAGATTCCGTAAGTACAAACAGAACTTGAATCATATCTGCTATACTGTATGCCTTCCAATGAGTAGAAATAGCAATCAGAGAACCTACTTCAAAAGTACAGGTCTTCAAATGACATTTCATTCAACATTTCATTTTAAGGCTGATTAGGGAAAAAACTTGCTTTGAGGAAGACACAACTATCTGTATGGAGTTTGCATGTTCTCACCATGTCTGTGTGGTTTATCTCCAGGTATTTGTTTCCTTCCACAACCCAAAGATGTGCATGAGGTTAAAGTGCTGTCTAAACTGTCCCAGTTGGAGTGTGGGTGTGTGAATGTGCACACTGCATTAGAATGGCATCCTGCCCAGGGTTGTTTCCTCCCCATGTGTCCAGAGCTGCTGGGAACTGCAATAAGTGGGTTGAAAATGAATGCAAATCATTGTTTATTATTTTTGAATCTTAATGTAGAAGTTTGGTACTATTTCTGTGACAAGAAGTATTTGTTAGGAACTTAAATCTTATTTATATCAATTAGCCTATATATAGTAAAACTGGTTTCAATGTATGTTGTTATCCTTAAAGCTGGTTTTATCACATTAAGTGATAACTTACAGTACATACAGATACAAATTGTTCAATACTCATTTTCAGTGGTCACTAGCTTATTCACTAGTTTTTAATCAAGAGAAGTTCAAAAGAAAATCTGTTTCAAGACAAGTTCTTATTTTACTGTACTTTGAATATATGTATGACATATTTGAATGATCCATTAGGGTGAACATATAGCATGCATTTTTTCTGATATGAGGCAGAGCAAACTTTTGGATACTTACAGCCTCAGTAGGTGTCTTTTTCAGTTTAGTTCTGTCTACTTTCATGTTTCCGATTTTCTGCTTTATAATCTGAAAAGAAAATCCCCAAAGAAGTGAGAACTTAAAGCTGTAATCTTGAGCTCTACATGGTTTGACATAGACAACATAGAATGAAGTACATGTAAAATTACATAAAGTAAAAAAGTTTCGATGCCATGCCAACTCCAGAGGCATAGCTACCAGGTACAGAGGGTTAAAGAATATGTTGCACAAGCCTATAACCAACTTAAGCCAAAATTAGAATGCCTTTTAATATTTTTTAAATAAAGCAATGCTTTTAATACACCTCAGGATGGAAAAACTTGTCATATCCCTGTGATTTTTGGTAAACTTAACAATTTCATTTCTGGGAATTTATCCAAAGAAAATCATATGGATGTACACAAATATTTAGCCACAAGAATCCATAATGCATGGCCATGCACAATAATGAAAAATTGGGAATGATCAAATGCCCAAAATAGGATTGGTTTTACATGGCATATTACATAACTGTTAAAAATATTACAATTATATAATAGCACACAAGGATTTTCATGGTAAAATAAAAAGGTTACAAAAACAAAATGAACAATAGAAACCTATGTCTAAAGAAAACAGCTTAGAAGGGGTATGCATCAAAATGTTAACTCACTACTAGCCCAAAAACATTATGTATGACTGTATCTGTGAATCTTTGTATTCTTACTGTTTACAATCAATAAAAATATATTAGCTGTGTCGTAAGGACCATGGCAACATCATAATTTTAGTTTTAATAGAAAACAAGTATATGACTCCTACTAAAAATGTCTTGAGCACAGTACACAAACATTTTATTAAGACCATGGAATTTGGAAGGCTCAAATAATATAAACCTAAGTGATCTCTGATGGCAGACAGATCCTTCAAGATGATCTGGCCAATATGAAGAAATAAAGGTATTCCCCATTAGCAACTAGGACACAAACAGAGGTAGAGGTGAAATATAGGCTTTTTACATGCCAAAGATTCGGCTTCTAATAATGTCTTTGACATGCAGCAGTCACTGGAGGTCAATGTCCATTCCCATTCCCCAAGAAGGCTTTCATAATACAAAGCTAAATAAATACAAATTAAATTTTAAGCAGCTCATGGCCTAGATTTAGTTCAAAATACTCAGTAGTTTGGAAATATTGTGTATCTATCTGGCTGACATTGATTCAACCAATGGGCAATCAGAAAGAGTTGGTGGCAAATCCATAATGTTTTAAAATGTTTCTATAGACACCATTTTTGAAGGGAAAAAAAGATGTTCTCCTACTATGGTTCGCACTGAAGGAATGTGGTTCCATTTACTTAAAACAAACAAACAAACCTCAGCAACTAATAGAAAATGAATAAATATCTGTTGCCAACAGTCTCAAAATACCTAAAATGAGGCCAACTGGATTCTGGCAACAATCTAATCCATGTAGTGGAAACTATAAATGAGCTATTTGTACACTTACTTTCAGGCTTACTTTTTCTCACTATTGTGGCTGGAGGAAGTAGCAGTAAGCCACAACACCATACAACCCAAATCACTGACTGCTTTCCCTCCAAACTCAGGAACAAGGCAAGGACATCTGTTCTCACCACTTTCATTCAACATAGTGTTGGAAGTCTAGCCACTGCAATAAGGTAAGAAAAGGAAATACAGGTATACATGTCAGAAAGAAATGAAATTGGCCCTATTTGAAAGCAATTTTGCAGATGATAACAGATTGTCTAAGTAGAAAATCTCAAGAAATCAACAAAAAAATTCCCAGAATAAGTGAACACAGCAAAGTTGCAGGACACAAAATAAACATATAAATCATCACTTTTCTATATACTGGCAAAGGACATGTGGAATCCAAAGTTTAAAACGCAACAACAATCACAACTGCTCAGAAAAAATTACTTAGGTGCAAATCTAATAAAACATGTACAGAACTTCTAATAAAACTATAAAATGATTTTAAAAATCAGAGATCTAAATATATTAAGATATATCATGTTTATGGATTAACACAACATACTAAAGATACCAATTCTCCTTGACCTGATATACAGATTTACAGCAGTAATTTCTGTGAATACGCTGAGATTATTCTAGAATGTAAAGGCAAAGAAACTACAATAGTGAAAACAATTTTGAAAAAGAGGGAGGAATCATGCTATTCAATTTTATGGCTTATTTTTCATAGAGTTAGATACAGTATCTGCAGTATTCATGACTGTATATGCAGTATGGGCAGGGGCATAGATACATATGAATGGACAAGAATAGAGAACCAAGAAACAGAACCATAGAAATATGCCTAATTTTTGGCAAAGGGGAAAATAATCCAATCAAATAGTTTTTGCGGTGGGCGGTGTTAAACCAAATAGAGATATATAAGCAAAAAGATAAATTTTGAAATCTAAGTCTCATACTTTACATAAAAATTAACTCTAAAAAAGGATCACGTGGGGATGCAGAAACAGGGAGCCCTAGTACACTGTTGGAAGAAATGTAAATTGGTGTGGCCATTATAAGCAACAAAAAATAGAGATTTTTTTAAAAAATAAAAAAAACGGGCCTCCCCGGTGGCGTAGCAGTTGAGCGCTGGGTTACGAAGCTGCCCACAGCCTCTGCAGTGCCGGTTTGATCCCTGGCTGCTCCCCAGCCACCGGAGGAGGGTCCCACATGGCACGCAGACCTCTCCTGCCGCCCACTGCTCCCCTCAGCAGTGTACTTCAGTCCTTCTGCCTGCTCTGCACCCCGGTCTGGCTCTGGTGAATTCTCTCACCCTCCTGCGCTTCTGACTATACCCAGTGCTTGTATAAATAAATTAAATAAATAAATCTTTAAAAAATAAAAATAAAAATAAAAATAAATTAAAAAACCTAACTACTGTACAATCCATCAGTTCCACTTCTGAGTATTTACCTTAAGAAAACTGCAATAATGACTCAGAAAGGTATCTGCACCACCATGTTCACTACAAGATTATTTACCATATAGATATGGAAACGACCTAAGTATCTACTGACAGATGAATGGATAACAAGAATGTGGTGTGTGTGCACACACACACAAATATTATTCTGCCATAAAAAAGGAAATCTTATAGCTTCTTGGTCTTTTGGTATAAAAAGGCAATCTTGTCACTTGTGACAATATGGATGGACCTTAAGGGTATCATGCTGAGTTAAGTAAGTCAAAAGGAGATAGACAAGTACCTTAGGATCTCACTTAAATCTGTAATCTATAAAAGGAAAACAAAACCCAAATTCATAGATACAGAGAAAAGAGTGGTGGTTGCTACAGGCAGGGGTGGGAGTGGACAGGTGATAGGAATCAAAAAATACAAAGTTGGGCCTCCCTGGTGGTGCAAGGGGTTGAGGCCCAACAAGGCTGTCCACAGCCACTGCAGCACGAGTTCAATCCCTGGCTGGCCAGGGAGCATCCCACATGGTGCAGCAGACCTATCCTGGCTCACCGGCTGCTCCCCTCAGCAGTGTATTTTAGTCGATCTGCCTGTTCTGTTCCCCACTTTGTCTCTGGTGAATCCTCTCACCCCCCCACCTCTGACCTGTACTCCCTGTTCGTGTATGAATAAAAAATCTTAAAAAATAGTACAAACTTCTAGTTTTAAGTCATGGGGATGTAATGCACAGCATGGTAACTACAGTTAATACTATATTGTGTACTAGAAAGTTAGTACAAGAATAGATTTCAGAAGTTCTTACCATAGGACAAAATTTTTTTCTGTGTAATGACATGTTAACAATTAACTAGAGTGATCATCTTGCAATATATGCAAATATTGAATCATTATGGTGTATACCTGAAACTTACATATGTTAGTGTCAATCATATCCTAGTTTTTTAAAAAAGCAAATTTAAAACAGGGATGACAGACTTACACATAAAAGTTACCATAGAAAAGATATGCTAACCATATGTAGTATCTAGAATAAAGAACTCTCATGGGCATAGGTTGAGAACAGACTGGCTAACTAAAGCAGAAAAGTGTTGCCAGAAAGATAATTGAGAGCTCAAGAGTTTCAACAGGTAGGCTCAGAAATCAAGAGGAACCAAGGAAGCTAGGCAGTCTGGAATTATAAGCCAAGGACCTCCCACAGATCCAGCTATGTTGGGAGTACCTCTGCTGCCAACAATAGACTCTAGAACTTACTGCTGGTGGCAGAGTAACTTCTGCACCGTTGAGACAATTATCTGCATTAGTGGCTCTAGATGCAAAGTCGCAAGTGTAAGCAACTGACTGGTCAAGCTTAGGGCACTGCCCATGCCCTGGGTGTCAAAGTTCTAGGAGAACAAGTACATTTGGCATTGTTTAGTTTCCAAAGTGTTTGGGTTCTAACCTTGTCACAAACAGTTTCAGATGATAGGCTTATGTGTGAGCACAATTCCCCACAAATGCAAAGTTATCCTGTTTTCTATAATTTTGTTGCAAGAAACATTTCACTCTCTATTTAGGACATCAATTAAGAAAATTCAAAATTTTTCCCCTAGTTATTCTATTTCTAAGCTGGTTTCACAGTGGGGATGGAGAATGTTTTGTAAGTGCCCACTATAAGCCAGACAATACTCAGGCTTGTGTTTCCCAAAGCATTTAAAAGAATCTTGCTCCATGAAGGAAGACAAGGTCCAGGTGATTTGGGAAATTATACAAATGGAACTCTTCCTTTAGGAGTCACATAGCTGGTTGACATTAGTAAGGGCTCCAAGAAATCTTGAGTAAAGGACACTTACTGGGGCACAGAATCATTTTTTTTTTTCAAATGGCACCTACTGAAAGTTCACAAATTTAAGTATCCCAAAGAATAGATTTTGACATGCTGCTCAGGAGCGTCACCTAATATTCTCTCATGCAATCCTCATCAATCAAGTTTTGTCCTCATTTACAAACAGAAAACCAAGACTTGGAGAAATTAGTTATACCTGGCTAGTGAATGCTGCCATCAAGATCTATATCTAAGCCTAACTCCTAAATGCATGCTTTAATAACATGCTGTTCACTTTATTTACCAGTTCTATTTCTATAATGTCTGTAGATGAAAATATAAATTTTCCACATTATTCAAAAAATTTTTTAAAGATTTATTTATTTATGCATACAAGAGCTGGGGTACAGACCAGAGATGCGGGGGGTGAGAGGATTCACCAGAGACAGAGCAGGGAACAGAACAGGCAGACTGACTGAAATACACTACTGAGGGGAGCAGCCTGTGAGTCAGGAGAGGTCTGCTGTGCCATGTTGGCTGCTCCCTGGCCGGCTGGGGATGGAACTTGTGCTGCAGAGGTTGAGGATTGCTTCACAGTGCAGTGCTTACTTAACCCCTTGCGCCACCAGGGAGGCCCCCATTATTCAAAAATTATTCCAAGAAGAAGCTAGGACGCAAGGTGTGAAGCTGAGATATTGTCGATCTCACTAATGAAGGGAATACTAATGACTAGGGAATGAGTTCTACCTAATTCTTAGAAGCCAAACAGGAAAAAAAAATCCCATTGTATATATATAAAAAAGACTCCCCAAAAGTAGTTAGTTCTAAACAAATCTCTGAAGATGGCCTATTGTCTTTGTTGGATCAGAATGAGAACTCTGAGCACCAAAGAATTTCTATGGGTAATAAATATTTCTCTTAAACTTGAAAGATCAACTTTAAGAAAACTCATGAACCATCATCCATAGCTATTACTATTACTGAAATACTTTTAACGCACCACTTTTTCTCCTCCTTCATTGCTCCTAATGTCATATATTTTTGAGGTTTAAATCTTGGTTTAAGGGCCTCCCTGGTGGCACTGGCCATTGAGCACAGTGCTGTGAAGCTGTCCGCAGCCTCTGCAGTGTCAGTTCAATCCCCGCTGGCCACAGAGCAACCCACATGGCGAGGCAGACCTCTCCTGTCTCGCCTGCTGCTCCCCTCAGCAGTGTATTCTGGTCAGTCTGCCTGTTCTGTTCCCCGCTCTGTCTCTGGTGAATCCTCTCACCCTCCCACACATCTGGCCTGTACTCCGGTTCTTGTATGAATAAATAAATCTTTAAAAAAGAAGAAGAATTTAAATCTTGGTTTAATAGGGTTTACATGAAGACAAATGTGTACAATTAAAATACATTGAGGGAAGTCACCTTTTAATATGTGACATACTGTGTAGCAATCACCAGTTGATCAAATTCAGAAGGGCTTTCAATATTGCATCAGCTGAAGGGCAGAGAACACCTGTAGTTCTCAAATCTGACTAACTGGCAACTGAGTGTAGTAATAGGTAGTAGTAGACTAGTCTTACCACTTAAAATATGGTCAAAAGATCAGCAGCACTGATGTCTCCCATGAGTTATTAAAAATGCAGTCAGATTCAAAGAATCCATCTGTATATTAATAAGATTGGTAGGTGATTCATATATTAAAGTTTGAGATGCACCATGTCAGAATACAGGCTCAGAATCAGGAAATCCAGGTTAGAATTCCTGTTATATTACTTCTTACTATATGAGCAGAAAATTCAGTCTCTGTAGGCTTCTGTTCCTTAACTGTGAAATGATGATAATTGATTTCCCCACTTCCACACACTCTCATCCCATCTATTCTATAGAAAGGAGCAAAAGTAATCTTGCTAAAACACAAAACAGCTCAT